ATATTTCCAAACACTGTCTCAGGTGTTGTAGGGTTTGTTAAACAAAGGGATTAAAGGAGGCAGCTGTACCTGGCAGTGCAGCTTAGCTTGAGTATACAGCAGGCAGCTTGCAATTCCCACCTGGGTCTGCCTTGCACATTACACAAAACCAGAAAGCAATCTCAAGTCCACGCTTCACACTATTTTCTCCTAAAATACTATTTGCCTATTTACACAAAGTTCCTCCAAGAGTTAACTGCAAAGGACCTGTGATTACAAGGACTGCACAAACATAACTTGGATATAGTGTGTGTGGGGGGGGAAGCTGGAAAGGGATCATGAGTCAAAACCTGCTGGCCCCAGAGTGCCTCTGCTCCAGCTTGCACAGAGCACCCAGGCTGCTCTCACTAGATGGCAACACGAGACCTAGCAACTAGCTGCTGCTCAGAGGTGTCCATCTCACACCTTCAGCCCTAATAGCCCTTTTACAATTTATAGTTTCAAAATTAAAAACAACAAACACAAAACAACTACAGTTTACCTTTTCTGCGAGCACGTCGGGCCAACCCATGCTCCTGGAAGATCTCACGGCACTGGCACATTCAGCGTTTCATCTCTCCAGATGAATTGGAGAAGCTTTCCCATGGGGCGAGGAGCACCCCTGGGGGAGCAGCCCCGGTGCCAGCTCCCCCAGCCCCTCGCTGGCTGGGCACCAGGGTGGTGAGCTGGGGCTCTGGTGCCACAGGCCTGAGCTCTCTCTCCCTGGCCTCACGCCTAGCTACGTTGCAGCCCAAAAGCCTCACCAGAGCAACCCCTCACTTAGAGTCCTCTTTTTTTCACCACGCAATTGCCTCCTCACGGCAGCCAAACTCTTTCACCCACCATTTTTAGCTCAAAGGAGAACATTTTAAACTCTTCCATCTTTTCACAACACTGCCACAGAGAGGCTTGAAATGCTGTAAAAGCCCCATCCAGCACAGGCCATTAGCCATTTTTACACTTTTCTGCCATGCACAGCTTCTCCACAGAGGATTCACTAAGGTCCCAAGTAAGGTAAGGAGGAAAAAAAAAATCCCCCACTCAAGGAAAAGAGCTGCACCACAGTCCTAGTTTTGATGTAGCTATAATAAACACCTCCCATCAGAAATTCAAACTTGGAAACAGAAAAATATCTTGCTAGAGGTAGGGAGAGGAAAAAAAACACCCTCTCCTTCCTTCCTTCCCTCTCTCCCTCCCATCTCACTCTTCATTTGTAAGGCACAAGAAGAAAGCACAGCCCCACCGGGCTCACCTGCACCCAGCTGCTGAGACTTGGCCAATTAGGGGTTGTTAAGAGGCTCCAGCTGGGGAGAGCAGGAGTCCCCTAGGGACAAGGCCGTGTTGGTGCCCCTGGGGGGAGGAACAAGACATCCTGTGACAGCTACAAATCTTAGTATTGAGCAGAAACGTACACTGAAATTAATCTTGACATTTCTAGGTCTTGCAATCACAGCAAGTGACAAAAGCAAATTCTGGATCAGAGTATTTGCTGCAGCAATTTAAACGTTTCTATTTTAAGGGACGACTGAGTTAAACAAAGGGGTGACAGCCTGTAAGTTGAAAGCAACAGTATGTGGTGTTCTAGGATTATGTTAAAATCAAGCAGGCAGAATGTCCTCCAAAATACATATTTTTAGTAAATCAAGGAGGGAAAGTGCTGCAGCTTTCCACAATCTCTGTGTTCAGTCACTGGCTTCGCTCCTTTAGGTTGAAATGACTAAACCACGGCTCCTGGGGGGTTGGTGGGCTGCGGCCTGGTGGGGGCTGGCCCTGGGAGGTGGCACCCAGAGCCCTCGCTTGGTGGGTGCTGCCACATGGGAAGCCCCCCTCGCCCATCCTAATGGGGCCAGGAGATGCCCTGGGGCCCTCTGCTGAGCTGTGTGCCCCCTGCCGCAAGCCCTCCTCCCCCATGACCTGCCCCCAGGTACTGGGGACTAGCAACAACGAGCAAAATAACTTCACCGTCCTGCAGGAGGTGTAAGGGTCAGTTCATTGAAGGGGAAATAATAAGGTAGGAAGTGAAAATTAAGCCATTCAGCGGAAAATATAGAGGAACGGTTTTTGCATTCATTCCCCTATGCTGGCATTTTGTCCAAGTACTATTATGGAGAAACTGCAGGGGGAACCAAGGACTTTGGTGGGGAATTTTCTTACTTGAGGGTAACTGACTCTTGCGAGCTATCCCACAGCAACCAGACGCAGGCTTGAGGTGAAACTTGAACCTTTGGTGAGCCTCCCTGCCAGGTTAGTTCATGCACTCCCTCAGTAGCAAATACAGCTTCGTCAGCCAGGTTTCTAGTTTTACAGCCTGGCTGCACGCTCAGCGAAACCGTGCTGCAAGGACACCCCGCTGGCCTCCGTTTACGGCCAAATCAGAAGAAACAGTGACACCTGCCGAAGAGAGAAACCACTTTCCCATGGCACCAGAGCCTGTTCTCAGGGGGCTGGAGCACAAAAAGTGCCCAAATTTGCCCCGGTTCAGGTGTGAACCAGGCACAGCTGCAGCTGGTGGCTCTGAAACAGTCAGCGAAAGAGCTCAGCAAATCTTGCTGTTGGCAGCTTTAAAATAAATCCACAAGCAAGGCTTGTGATTTCAGCAGTTTGGCACGGTTTCAGTTTTATCGGCCTTTGCCCCCTTTGCTTGAATCTTCATTATTAAGTACAAGACGTCAGCCCATCTGTGTGCAGGCGTGCTGAGGTACGGCCAGGTTACACGTGGGGCTAGCTGATTACTTTTGAATCAACATCCTCTCTGTAGGTTGTCAAAAAGCCCTTGACGTGTTATTTTCTGAGCAAGCTTGGCGCTGTACAGAGGCCGGCTTCCTTAAATCACATTTCCAGTCTGGCTGGCACACCTGACTGCAAGCGAGTGCTAAAACCCCAGGAATTAAAATCCCCGCTGGCCACGTGAACATTGCTGCCAAAATCCTGGCGCTGAATCCGTACGCTCCGAGAGGGCACGGACTGAATTTGGGTGATGGGCAAGGCCCTCCGAGCGCCTTGGTTAAGGGCCAGCAGCAGCAGGCCTTGACACTCCCCTGCTCGGCCTCTTGGGGCCTGTTTCTTCCCTGCACGCAGGGTCCAGCGCCACTGCACTGAGGAGGACCCGACGAGCCACGAGCGGGCAGCGCAGCAGCACCGACGTCTATGGGAAACGGCGGGCAGCAGCGAGCCAACTTCCCGGTGTCCGGGGCAGTTTTCTTCAGGATAACGACGGTGCTCGCATATTTCAAAAGCCACATTTTTTGAGGCCGGTGCGTGGC